CCAAACAGGATAGAGACACCCCGGGTCTCGGGCTTCTTACGACAAGTCGTGAAGTCCTTAAGGGGGATGCGGTGTGGCGCGAGAAGCACACACCGAGCAGCCTCCACGTTGTCGACGAACAACTGTTCTTTCTGAACAAGGGCTCGTTCATAGATGCCCCTAGAAGTGTGGCCGCCCACAAGGCCACGAGGAGCGACGAGAAGCTCTAAGAAGAGGTCAGCCCCAGAGCTCTCCTCGGGAGGCCAATACCCTCTTGAGTTGATGGCAGCTCCCTGGCTGACGGGTGCCGCCACCGAACCCCCACGCACACGCTGGGCAGCTTGGAAATCCTCCTGCTGCTGGTCGAGGTCATTCGAGACCTCCCGGGGCTCAACAATGGCACCCTCCTCTTCCTCTTCTTCCTCCTTCTCCTCCTCTTCATCCGAGGAGCCGAAGAGACTCTGATAGGAGCGTCGAGTCTCCTTCTCCTCGCGGAGTGGAGACTTAGAGGCGGTACGCTTCTTTGAGGGCTTGGCGCCTTCGGCTTTAGAGGCCTTAGCGCGCGCAAGACCCTCGGCAAGCGAGAGACGTTTGCGAGGACTCCCTTCCTCATCGCCACCGGCTTTGGGAGTGCCCTTAGCCTTAACGGCCGGACTCTCAGAGCGCACAGAGGTCCTGGGACTGTGATCACCGTGATCACTAGCGGACGACTGCACGCTGTCTTCTTTGTGCTCACTGGGCACTGGGCTGTGCCCTCCCACAGAGCCCGCAGGAGCATCATGAGTGCTCTCGGACTCGGCATCGTCCTCACTGCCCGAGTTGAACTCACGTTCTACGAACCGAGGGTTCGGACGATTGTCTGAAGACGAGGGCGACGGACTGCGGCGCCTGCTTGCGCGCTTGTCCGCAGCCGCGTCACCCGAGGATCCGATCGCCTCGGAGGCCACCTGAGTAGCCTCCTTAAGTGCAGAGCCTTTGCCGTGAGGCTTAGTGCTCTTGGCCTGCGCCTTACCGGCTGCAGCCTTGGAGCGTGTCTTAGCACCGCTCTTAGCAGTGCCACGAGGCATGTTAACGGTCGAAGTGGAGACCTTGACGAAGAGCGCACAGGTTGCTGCTCGAGGCTCTAACTGTAAAGTGAGCCTCCGCCGCGCTCGCGCGGCCGAGTCGATGGTTTTCGACTTTGAGAATGAGAGTTTGTGACGAACATCTCTTCATTCTGATTGGTCGGTAAACCGAACCTAAATAGGGAGGATGTAACGGGGTACGTAGCACTAAGTGTACCCTGGTTACATGAAGTGTGACACTTCACACTTCAGGAGTATGACATGTCATACTCCGGGATATTTGGTACAAGGTACCAAGGTCATTCAAAACCAACCATTGGTTAAATGACATTGCATTTCTATAGGTAACTGATAGTTTGTATTAACCTCAAACTTAACCTACCTATAAATATACTCAGTTTACAATCTACCTTATTTAGGTCACTTCGCTCTCTTTAATTAAAGAGGGGACCTGTGAACTGCCGTTCACTGAGAGTTTGTATACTCTCGGAAGATAACTTCCTCTAGCGCAAGGTGCTGTGTGACCCCGTCACATGTATGCTCGACGACCCTTTCTTCCCTGAGCAGCTCAATGTGGTGCATTAAACACTGAAGCTCAGCCAGGCGAACCTCCATCCCTCGCGTCGTCATATTATTCTTTGTCAGAAGTCTTAGCGGCGGATGCCATGTGCACTAAAGTTGCCATACAATGCGAAGAGTGCCTGAAAGCGGCTCAAACTCTCTAGGGGGACGATGAAAATCCCCGTTCCACATGTGAAGACCCGAATGTGTAGTTGTAGTAGGATTGACGACTTGGGAAGTAGGGGTCAGTCGTCATGTTTGGGCAGATGAAAGCCCGCTGCAGCAAGAGATTGAGCGCGCTACAACAGCTTCAAATGCTGTCTTCATGGCCTCCATGGTTATAACGGATCCATGAATATTACGCTTTAAGGTACCCTCAAACTGTTTGCCAGTCCTTCTCTCAACACCTCCACCTCTTCTTTGTACTTCTACAGACTTATCATAAGGTAAAATGCCAGTTTAAGTCATTTGGATCAGTTCAAGGCGCACCAATAGCAGTCGTAGATGCATCTGATTGGTCATTTTTAGAGCGGCGCTCGCCTCCACGAATACCTGTCAGTTTTGATCTGGCTTCCAACCATGAAGTGTCGCACAACGTATAGCAGCAAGAAGAAGATGAAATTGGTGAGGTCTATTCGCGAGGGAGGCAACATTGAAGCTATTGGCGAGGAGAGCGGTGTTCCGGCTCGAAACTTGTTCCGGTGGGCTGGAGAGGACGTTAATTGGCGTGAGAACGGGAATAATGGCCCGTACATCTTCAGCAAACGGCGCGGACCTGATCCCACTCTGCCCAAGGAAGCCGAAAAAAGTATTTCAACGGCACACACTTACTGCAGCCATTGGATACTGCCTTTTTTCTTCGTTCAAAAATACGGTCCAAGATCTTATTGATGCTAATATTCGAGCTAACGGGATTAATACTATCAGCAAGGAAAAGGCTCTTCAAATGGCCGCACTAGCGTGGACAAGTTGCAATTTCAACAGCAATATATCATCTGGATTTCAGAGCTGCGGCATTTTTCCGTTAAATCTTGTAAAAATGCACGAGAAGCTACTCAATTTCCAACACAACGGAGTTTCCGCTACCGTCAAAAAGGCTTCTTGGCTGCGATACAAGGAGACAGTACAGCACGATATCTTGCTTCTGCCTGGTCGCCAACAAAAGCAGAGTAGGAAAAGAAAAACCAAAACAGTGGCTGGTAGATTCCTAACGCGTGAGGTGCTTCAGCAACATGACCAGCCCTCCCAACGAAACGCGCCGAAGCGAACAAGAAAATCGCAGAGATACAGAGAATTTACAAAAACGACAGCGAGTGGTATGCACCACCAGGACCAGGAGCTTCATCAAAAGCAATACCACGATCAAAACCACGAGAACGAGCACAAACACGAAGAGGAACAAGGCATGGAGAGCGAATTGGTGCTAGTGCAGCAGCAGTCAGAAGTTGCTAGCAGTGATACGGTTCTGTTCGAGGCGAGCTTCTAAATACTCCGGTTTTTAATACACCATCTATTTTGATCCAAGTCAAGGTTATAATTTTACGTGGGTTCTAATCGGAATTTACAGAAATTCAACAGTACGTGCACGATCGTACATAAAAGTCTCTTGTCCATACTCAAGTCAAGTTTAAAATTGTCTTAAACTGGCACACGACGAAAAAAGATGGTAATTTCAAGCCGCCTCTGATGGCCGAATAGTACTCAATTAATGTGTTGCGCTTAATAATAGGAAAGACGAGATTCTGAAAATTCCAGTCGTGGTTGTTTTATTCTTATCTTCAATGACCGCTGAAAATTATGAGCTTTTAAAGTTGGTTTAATACAGTCGTGCACCTCCAATTCGGCACCGGTATCAGTCGATAGCCTGCCAGATTTAATGATTACGCGAATCGGATGCGCAATTACCTTTGCCCATCACCACCCTAATAATTAACCTCAACGGTTTTCGCCTCCTCGCCGAGGGATGACACGCCGCATCGATCTGATTTTAAATTTTGGATCGGAGTCTTCATACAAACACTCACTTTGATTTTTACCGCCAAGGACAATGGGACATCGCCCTTCCTCCTACATGTCCCTAACTTTAGCACAAAAGCGGTCTTTGTGCGAGAAGCACAAGTCAGATCCTGCATGCTCTCACTCCGAACTTGCTCGTTGGGCAACGGAGCTATTGGCCAGCATGTCGATCAGACGCCGAGTCGCCGAAGGCGGCGAAGAGTCGGTAGAGGACAGACAGATGCTGGACAGAATTAAGTGTGTCAACACAATAAAAGACTTACTTTCATTTATATAATAGTAAGTACTAGAGTAAAACAGATCCTACGAGCACTTGGATAGAGTGCACCAGCAGGCAGAGGCTGTCTGCCAACCAGTGCGATGAGGACTTGAAGGCAGAAGGGAGAGATGCCGTCCGAGGACGCAGTCCTCGGACGAGGTCACTTCTTCTTCTGCCTCAGACTGAGCAAAAGTCTAGAGAATAGGTAGTTAAGAGTAAAAGTAAATAAACTGGATTGAGAGCTACTCTACAACGTTCATTATAACATTTCAAGTAAGATGGACAAGACTTCTGAGACCAACATGAGCAGGCTGCAGTTCCACGGGAACAAGGCGCATTTCGCTGGTTGGAAGGACAAGTTCGTGGATCATCTGGCTGCTAAGAGCGACGCCATCACGATTCTCGAGCTTCAGCAAAAACAGGCGAAGCCGATGACGCGCTATGAGGATTTGCTCAAATCCCAGCCGTCAATCCCGCCTCTCGAAGGAGAGCGTACAACGGACCGCGTGCAGGCGCACGAGCTGCAAGAGGCGCTGCTCAGGGGACAGAAATCCTACATCAAGGATCTTCTGAACCAGATGCTGCCAAGAAACTTCGCTGACGAACGGCTCATGCGTATGCCGGTCTATGTGATCTGGAAAGCCGTTGAGAAACGTTATGGTCTCAACACTGCGTCCGGCGTGGTAGAGCTGGTGCAGAATTTCGAGAGAGTGGCCAACTCGGACTTCAAGAATGTTTCGCATCTGTTCCAGCAGCTCAAGGCTGCTCGCGAGCAAGCGAACAGGAACAGCATAGAGGCACTGGGTGAAAAGATCATATCGTTTCATCTCATGCTCATCAAAGTCCTGGCTATTCTGCCTGGTCATCTGTGGGGCTCCGGAATTGAATTCCAATCAGGAGACTTCACGGTTGAGAAGGTGCAGCAGAAACTGGTCGCCATCTTCGGTACCAAGAGCAAGGCGCAAATTATGGCGCTGGGCAAGGGCATTGCGGTGAGCCACGTGCAAGCCGGGACAGCCAAACCTAAAGCAAGTGCACTGGGCAAGCGAAAGGCCGCACCCGAGCCCATCAACGATCTGCACTACAACGTGGGGCATAAATCGTGCCACTACTGTGCTGGGGAGTTCAACGACATGAATGATGTTGGTCCTCATCTGATTGCTGCCTGCCCCAAAATGAAGTACGACTTGAGCCTGGGCGTCAAGCGTAGGAACATCTGGAGCCGCGGCAAACAAGTGGGCACTTGCTGGTCGAAGCCGCAAGGAAAGGGCAAGTCGGCTACCAAGATCAAGAAACCAGCCCGCAAGCAGGTCCCGGTTGAGGACTGTCTACCGAAACCGGTAAATGCGTGCGAGACGGTGCAGCCAGCCGCTCCACAAACTCCACCGCCTGTCAGCCCGCCAACGTCAATGTTGACACCCGGCTACGAAGATATGCACGGCATCGAGCCAATGGACACGGACGAGTCCATGTCGTTCTCCGACACGTCTGTCAACGCGGGACAAGTCACGGAAGCGCCAACCGGTGATGGGCAGATTGCCGACATGGCGGCAGGTGTCAACAAGATGGCAGTTGACTTGGAACAAGCGGTAAGATCCATGTATCCTTTTCTGCTTGACAGTGAAACATTTCTGACCAATGACTCTTGGGTACTCGATTCAGGATGCGGATTCGGGCTAACCAGTGAGGAGTCCCGGTTCGTGGAGAAGAGATACATGTTTACATTTGCAGAAGGGTCTAAGCATACAAATACACACATTGGCACTGTGAAACTTTATTTGCATGGTCCGGGAGGTATCCGACCGTTTCAGTTTACAAACATTGCGCTTGTACCGTATGCTAAGTCGAATATTCTTAGCGAATACTGGCTACAAAGGGGAGGGTATCAGATTATAGGGTCAGCCAATGGCGACTTTAAATTTGTCCTTTATAAGAACCAATTGGTTTTTGTGGCCAAGGCAATTAACGGGGCGTATTATATACAATCCAAAACAGTAAAAGAACGACAAGCGTTCTGCCATGCGGTGAAAACGCAACCATGCAAGCCATTGGCACTGCCAGGAGTGGGCAAAGTAGAGGCTGCACTAAAGGAATGGCACGTAAAGTTGGGGCACTTGAACAAAGAGCAGGTGATCACAATGTTGACCAAAGCAGTGGTAGCCGGTATGCCCACACTAAAGGCATCTGATCTAAGGCAAGTGCCATTCTTCTGTACAACATGTACGGAAATGAAGAAGAAACGGATGTCGTATCGCAATACAAAGGGCTCAAGAGATGCAAAGCCGATCAGCACGATACACATGGACACAAATGGTCCGATGAAGACAATGGGAGTCTTTGGAACCGTGGGCACTATCAAGTACTTCTTGAGCATCATTGATGACAACACGTCATGGCGTTGGACATACGCTCTGCGGAACAAGAAAGAAGTGTTCGAGAAGGTCCGAGATCTCCTGCTGCAACTTGAACGTGAAGGAAAGTTCACAATCAGGAGGATTCGATTCGATGGTGGAACCGAGTTTGTGAACTCAGCGTTCAAAGACTTCTGCAAGGAAAAGGGCATCATCTTTCAGACATCAAATACATACAGCCCAGAAGAAAACGGGGCGGCAGAGCGGGATCACCAAAGCAAACTAGACAGAGTTCGTTGTGCGCTCAAAGATGCTGACATGGAGCATAGATGGTGGCCAGAAGCCTTGATCTATATGACCTATGTTCAAAACCGTACCCCAATGAGTCGGTTGGGTGGAAAGACACCATACGAGATGGTGCACGGGAAACCACCCAACATTAGTGGCTTACCTGTGTGGGGTAGTATCTGCTTTGCCCACATACCGACTGCACTTCGCAAAGACAAGAAACTGTCTGCTAGAGCGCTTAAGTGCCGGTTCCTGGGTGTCTCTGTAACGGGCCTGGGGTGTCCGTTACTTGCTTACACGTAGTGATGAGGAAGCGTACAAGTCCAGTGATACTGAAACCAAGTACTTAGTCTGAAGGAAAATCAACTCTGTTTTTATTTAGGTCCAAGGCAGCTTGCCCTGACCACTCAAATACACGTCAACTCCTTATTGGTTGATTATGGGTCTGGCTTCCCATATTTCAACCAATAAGGTGACGGCAGTTCAGCACACGCTACTCGTGTGCTGCTGCACCTACTTTTGTAATGCAAATCTACCTACTTATGTAATGGTGTGAGCCACTACAAAGAACCTATAAAACTACTTACATATGTAACTTGGGAGGGCCCATTACATCACCCCCTCTTAAGACCGCAATCACCTAACGGGGGTGCGCTTCGGAGAACAATCGGGAAAAACTGGAAAATGGCGGAGAAGAGCACGCTTGAGAACTTGACGGGCGGGAGCTCCTGCGAAGCCCCGGAGCAGTACAATACAACTTGCGCGGACGAGAACAACATGGCGCAGCGGACGGGGGCGGCGAACCAGGCAGGAAGCGGAAAAACGCGGACGGCTCCAGCGTCGGCGACGACGCTGAACAGGGGTGGACCGCCGATATCGCACCTGAGAGCGTGAGTCGACTTGGGGTTCGGCCCGGCGTAATGAACGAGGATATGAAGCCGTGGGCGCTGTACGACTTGTCCGGGGCGGTGACCCCGGACGCGTTGGACACCATGCAGGACCACTTTCGGCGCTTCAGGCGTCTCCGGAACAAAACGATCGACGGCGCGTCGTACGAAAGCTTTGCAGAGATCATGGTGCGCATTCATCCGGCGGTGGAATCGGATGCAAGAGGCTGGAGAAAGTGTCGACGGCTGGCTCGGTGATCATGAGGCCCTACAAGTCGAGTATTCACTCGGTGATCTGCGCCTGAAAGTCCCGCGACGACGCTTGGACCGAAGACCGTTTGTGGTATGTCAGCGTACGCGAAGGTTGCAGTTCGTGTGACATCGGGCGACGCCCGACGCAAGCTGAGTGGGCTCAGCATATTGTCAAGTATCTACTCATGCCGACCGAACACGCTTGGATCGAGAAGTATAATCGCTCACTCTCCGAGCTCACCCAGGCGGCTATTCGCGGCGGCTCGCGCCGACAGCGTTCGCGACGGAGCCCGTCTCCGGCGCATTCGACGTCTCGTCGGGCGCGAAGTCGATCGCGCTCTCGATCGCCGCGAGGTCGCTCGCGGCCGCGTTTGACTCAAGGCTGGAGTCGTAGTCGTGGACGACATCAGGAACGTCACGAAGCAAGTTGGCGCGAGGCTCCCACGTATCATCAGCAGGTTGAAACCCG